TCTCACATGCTGTTCATGTAATTATAAATCTGGACTGGCAATTGACAAATTGTCTGTATACTCTTATTCAAATGGCATATCTCAAATAGGGTTATCCATAAATCGTTGAATCGCTTGTGCCACGTTCCTCAGGCTGAGTGGCATGCATACAAACTCAAACAGTCCAAAAAATATGGTAATAGCTGTCTTAGTGGTATCTTCTTCAGTTACCGGGATATTGTGATATGCTCTAAGTCAATTTTGGTAAATATATATTCATATTTGTAAGCCGTTTGTAAAATCTTAAATATGAGGTATTGGGTATCTATCTGGTACGGTTTGGCAATTGAGGGATCTGTTAACTTTAGTTAAGGATAATCAGAAGGTCTATTTATGTCACAAAGTAAAAAGATAGTGGGTATGCACAAAACAAAAATCAAATTTGTGCTCAATAAAAGATGTTACGTGCAAGTTTTTGCTCGTTCCCGTTATTGAAGTACGGTATATCGACCTATTTGCAATTTACGAACTCAAAAAATAACAATAGAACCGAACTCTAATTTAGATACCAAATTTTTTTCGCAATTTACAGATCGTCGACCCGAATGTCGTTCTAACAGCAATAAATGTAACAATTACAAAACAAACCTTCAATCTTGTATGTTCCCGGAGCAAAAACTCTGAAATACCAAACCAGTGACAAAGAGAAACCAAAATGTCTGAATATAATTATATAAACAAACAAGTTCAAAAGTTAAGTAAAACAAATACATCCAAAAACAGTGGAATTAATACTATAAAATTGTTTTAATCAGTCAAATGTCTCCCGTAATATCGGGCTCACCAGTCTCATGCTGTTAGATAACTCTCGTTCTATTGATAGAAGAAACCCATCTAGTAGTTAGGTCCTTATTTTGCTCGCGGTATAGTGTACAGTTGAGCGAGGACTGCCTGTTTAAACACAAAAGGCGTCACAACATTCAGTGTAAGATATTGAGAAATATAATGCCCATACAAAATAAGGAAGCGAATGAATACTTGAGCTTTATTGTTTTGACATGTACTTAATTATTTGAGGTCATCTCTTAATTAAATACAAATACGGTTACAGATTGATTCTCTAGGGACGATTCACTCCATCTTTTTATATCACACAAGTGGTCCTCCATGACTATTTACTACCACACTTCAGAAATTTATTTAATACATGTAATTTAGGCATCTCTGTACCGTATGATTTGTACTAGCAATTACTTATTCCCCTTGAATAGATTACATCTGTAACTATAAATGAAAGAGCCTAGTGAAGCTAAGCATTAAACGTAAACTGTGTAACGCCCTCAGTTTTTACGAAGACAAAATGAAACCGAAGAAAGGATAAGATGAAAATTAGATTCTTGGAAAATCGCATTGCTTTTGGAAGAACTCGCGACTGAAGAAAAACAATAATAAATATCATCTATGTCTATGAAAAGAGACTCAGAAGGAAGAAATATACTCTAAAACTGCTTGCAATCCAGTGGCATCAAGCAACCAACCTATTTCAAGTTTGCTGGGCAACAGTGCTAGACAAATGAGACATAGTTAATTACGTGTCCTATTCAGATTCTATGAGTTTAAGATTGGTTCCACCAGTCTTTAAAGACCAGGGGATAGATGGGTGCTTCAATGATGAAAATAATGAAGGGAAGCACCATAATCAAGAAAAGGTATTCCATTTTGTGCTTACTGTAAAAGTATATGCTATGTGAGACAAAAACGCGTTTCATTGACAGTGTCTTATAATAACACATTAAATAACAACCCAAACTCTTTTAGTCATGTTAAATAATGGCTGTTCGTTTTAATTTCTATTGTACGGATTTTCAAACAAATCTCGATGAGCATTCCTTGCATAGGAGTTACAATAAACGAATTTATTTTACTTTAGGCCGACTTCTTGCTCACAGAATCTGCGGATCTCCTTATCTGTGTTTGGAGCGGAAACAATCTGTAGATTATTCTAAATTCACGGTCACGGAATTCTAAAAACTCAACGTCACCGTGTGGTAAGGACAAGAGTATATTGAGATTCGGTTTCTTTCCATTCATATCAAGTGTACGCCTAAAACAAGGAAAATATCAGTGGCAGAGTATTTGGCCGACTTACTATACACTTTTATCATACTCTTCTTATCTCACATTTATAATTAGTACACCTAGGCAGAAAAGATTCATTTATTTATATCTGATCTCTTTCTGAACCAACGGTCCAAAATGAGAGTTGTTCTTACTTTATTATTTCATACACAGAGAGAGAGACTGATGCAGTGATTTAAGAAGCAACTAGTGTTTTGTTTTAGTTTTTACTAAGTCAACAAGTCTATTTTGTACATCAAGTAATCTAGGTATATTTTTGTAATTGGTTGGTCACTGGGCGGTGTCTAGTGTAATGTGTCCCAATCATCTTAGTGCAGATTGATTTCTTTCAGCCAAAATGCAACAAAAAGACGGATTTAGCCCCGTTTGTATCCATATATCAACCATCAGTTATTATGATATCTGAAGCATGAACTAACAGTAATATAATAATAATAATAATAACAATAATAATTTATTCTCAAATAACAGTTTGTTACATGAGGCATGCCAGTTTACAGGCAAGATCAAATTGATACAAATGATACAATATACACTGTAATAAATTACATAGCTGGGTTGATAATTTATAAGATATGAATGTAGATGGTTTTAATCAGTACCACAGTTGGCGCGCTTCATGAAAGTTGGATTGCGAATGTGCGACTGATGGTCGAGGATAGGTTCATTGAAGGTATGAGCTTCTAGAAATCGCAACCTTATGTCCCTTTGGGTTATCCAAGGCTTTAAGGATGGTGCGGAATGAAGTCACCAGTTCCATATCTCAAAGGGGCTGAAAGAGGGAGCAAGTAAAAGAAAACACCAGAGGCAGAGTAGCCAATAATCATGAAGGAATGTTTAATGTATGATAAGGTATGTTAAGAAAGAGCATTTTAATAGGTTAAAGAAAAGTGTTGACAAGGTGTGAGTGGACATACAACTGACAAATGGAGTCGATTCGTAAAAGAGCTGAGAGTATAAGATTACCCAGACAACTCAAAAAGGGGAAATAATGGGGAAAAAAGGGGAAATAAAGAGGTAAATGCTTTGGTGGCGAAAGGGGAAATAAAGGAGAAAACGCGCCAGAATGTCGCCTTTTTCGCATGTCCGGGGGAAATAATGCGGAATTTCCTATTTTTGTCGACAAATTACCCGCTTATCGCCTAAATATCCGCCGAATTGTTGCATTTTCACCTAAATATCCGCCGAAATGTCGCATTTTCGCCTAAATATCCGCCGAATTGTCGCATCTCCGCCTAAATACACACATTACATCCTATTTTCTATCCATCGACAGAAGACAAAAGGTCTCATGCAGTCGCCTTTATTTTCAACAACAGACCAAAATATTTCTGCAATGCAGTTGAAAAGTTTGAAAAATTTTATTTAAAAAGAAAAGCTTATTATTGTACAACAGTAGAGCACAAGCTTGAACATCCATTGTTATGCATATCCAATGCAATTGCTAATTCATTGTTATTGAAAATTATTTGAAAAAGAAGGAACAGGTTATGTTTTATTCATAAGGAATTTCCATTTAATCAAAAGTTCACTGAAACTCAAACACATTCTCAACAGTTCAACAGTTTCCCAAGTAAGTAAAAAAGTAAGCTGTTTGAAAGAACAATGTTTATTGAAATGTACGTAGAACATCAAAACAATTGCACGGCTATTGAGAATTGAGGTAGTCGTCCCGTGAATTCTGAATAAATAAAAAAAGTAAGTCACAATCATATCTCAATGACATGCTTTGGTCCAGCCAAATACTTGAAGCTGAACTTACCGTTATGTTCGTTAGTATTGTTGACTGTAACTATAGAGCCGTAGGGAGGTCATCACTGGAAATTACTACATACCTGGTCTTGTTTTCTTATAATACGCTTCATCATCTTGTCTCAGATATCGTGAAAGTAACCGTGTGTCGCGATGTCATAGAGCTTACCAAGGTCTTTCTCGTTGAGAGAGGATGACAGAAAGCGATGAGTTAAGGCACCTGAAGTTTAAGTAATAGATGTAGGTTACTTCGTATGCAGCTGTAAAACGTGCATTTCTGTAGTGCTCGTTTTGAAGAGGTGCCAAGTAACGTGAAGTTACTGGTGAGCTCAGGTGTCAAGATGTATGACAGAACAAAACGCATCGACGTCTTTGGATCGTCACTTGATAACCTAGTGACCATTGCTATCTGTAATAATAAGAAATTATAGAATTCATGTTAGTTACTTACAAATCTGTCCCTGGTATCTTTTTGCGACAAACCAGTATCCAGCATCTTTAGTTCCTCTTCAGATGACAAAGGAAACTTACTTAGCAATAGGCGAAACAAATTTATCAAACAACCTGAATTTGGGATATTGAACATGAGTATTGCCAGCCTGCATTTCAGCAACATCCATGTCTATTGAATTGTAAAGATATTCTTGTTTACGTTTCATTACAGCTCTAGGAAATGTTCGTAAGATTATTGTACATACCTCTTGTGCTTCTTAGTGTTATGTGGCAGTGTTTTCATCCGTTGAAATATTTTCCCGATGAGATTGCAGTATTTCTATGGAAAGTAACACATCTTTGGCAGACTGCAGAGAATCTATAGTGAATTATACTTTCTGTGTATGTAACTTACGTAATTCGTGAATAACTTTACATTTCATAAGTGACCAATTTTCATTAGGTTGGTCGCACTTCTGAAGGTGTATATCGACCATCTCATTCGGAAAAGCGCAAACGTCCTTACCTACTAGCCACTCCTTTGATGCTATCATCAGTTGTTTTTTGCTAAGAACGTCAACAATGACGTACTTCTTGTTAGCGGGCTGAAAAGAACATAAGACCTAATTAAATTATTTGTCGTTATTTATTAAACAGTAGTGGAAAAAAATGCATTTATATACAAGTATGCAGCAATGGGATTAGAACTAGATAATTCCTACAATTTATGGCCATACATTTACAATCTATGTCCTTAACGGAGATCCATGTGTGTTCATGGCTAACTACGGAGCACCTAAAGATTCCAATATCAGTAGAAGGGAAAGGATCTTCGTTCATTCAATCTATCGCTTTTATATGGGAAATAGTCATCAAGAGATATACTTTGGTCGGAAATATTTTAACTTGGTAGGCCACTTGCTCTCTTTACCTGAAACAATGCCGGCACATTAACCAATATATTTTATCACAACATCAAAAGTATCATCAACAACATCGCACCTTTAGAATACTGTAAACCTGCATTCTCCAAAGATCTCTTTATACCGATCAGTACAAGAAGACGTCTTCAAAGACATTGTACTCAATTCCACAACTTAAATGACCTTTTCTCTTTAATAACGATGACGGAAATACTTGTTCGAACAGAGGCAATAAGTAAACAAAAAGTAGTAGCACAGGAAAAACGTGCAGTTGAACGTAATAATAACTCCTCTGCACTCACCATACTACTCCAAAATAAACTTAAACGCTCTAAATCGAGAGGGAGTATATTCATTAAAGGCAAACAAGTATACGAAGATCCCAAACTTGTCACAGAATTATTTAGTGAACATTTTTGTTTCTCACTAATTAACGAAAAACCATTTAATGATTCAGAACCAACCCCAGTAACTCCCTGTGAAATTACTGATGTAGAATTCAGTGTGCAAAATATCTCCAAGGCAATCAGTGCATTGAAACACTCCTACACTGATGGATCAGATGGTATTCCATCTAGCATTCTAAAACGTGGACGTGATGATATGTGTGTTTTGCTTCTCAAACTATTCGTGATGTCACTCTCTTCAGCGTGTTACCCTACTGCCTGGAAAACTACACATATCATTCCCAAAATTAAAACAGGACCTGAAGGAAACGTTGAAAATTACCGGCCTATAAACATAACTTCAGTGGTATCCAGAGTGATGGAAAAAGTAGTTAAGGCGGCTGTAGTCCAACATCTACAAACTAATAATCTCATCTCGACTTCCCAGCATGGATTTCTTAGGTCCAGATCATGCGACACATGCCTAGTTGACTACCTGAATGATATAACTCTGAAACGAGACAGCGGACTCCTTGTATTAGTCCTATTCCTAGACTTTAAGAAAGCCTTTGATAAGGTCCCACACAAAAGGCTATTCGTCAAACCAAAGTCCTTCGGAATACACAACCCACTGTACTCATGGTTTGCTTCGTTCTTAACAGAACGTAAACAGATGGTAAAGTACAATAACTGCCTCTCGTCCCCTAGACCAATCACCAGTGGAGTCATCCAGGGAAGCGTATTAGGTCCACTTTTGTTTCTTATGTATAAAAACGATATATGTAACACCATAGAATTTGGGAAACCATACTTATATGCTGATGATCTCAAAATAGTATACAGCTATAAGCCTGAGACACTAAGCGAAAGTGTATCCCAGATCCAAAACGACCTCAATAACTTAACTATATGGAGTGAAAAATGGCAATTACCATTTAACCTCAACAAGTGCGGGATCATGCACTTTGGAAAGCATCCCTATAAACCGCAACTTCACTTAAATGAAAGTAGAGTCCAAACACACGAATCAGTACACGATTTAGGAATTAATTACACAAGAAGCCTGAACTTTGAAGAACATGACTCCTCTATTATTTCTAAATCTAGACGGCTAATTGGTTTTATAATGAAAATTTTTTTCACAACAGAGGGTAAACTTACTCTCTACAAAATATGTGTAAGACCCTCCCTTGAATACTGCTCTTTTGTCTTTTCTAATATGAATATCACAGACAAGATAAAAGTAGAAGATGTTCAAAGACGTTTCACACGCCAACTGCTAGGATGCAACTGGAATCTCGATTACACAGACAGATGTAAGCATCTATCTTTAGAACCTTTATGGCACCGTAGGCTAAAAAACAATTTAATATTTCTCTACAAAGCGATATATGGGCTCTCCTTTCTAACCTCCTGCCCGACTATTACCCACGACCCATCTTATAGACTTAGAAACAACAAATATACACTACTTACCGTAAAACACCAAAAACAAATGCGTTGTAAGTTCTTTACAGTACGGTACAGTTTATTGTGGAACAGGCTGCCAATGCCTATCCGTAATTGTGATACGTTTATCAGATTCAAAAGGCTAATAACCCTATTTCTAGATTCAAAAGAGCTGTCACGAACTTATGGTATTGATGCTGACTTATCACGCAAAATACCTCTTTAAATCGTGTTACGAATGTTGAATTGGTTTCACTTCCTACCCAGAAATCCTATTACAAGCAAACTAGACAATTCGATAATTTACGAAGCATGCTCAAGACCCTATGATACCTAAAAATTAAAATAAAATATAATAATAATAATACAAAAAATATGAAAAGGGCTTCAACAGCTTCAACAAAAAAAGGAAGATAGTCAAGTGTATATCACAATAACTGTTTTTAGCACTATGTTTTATTACCACACATAATCTCATACTTCCAGCTCCTTTCTGAATCCCTTCTTTTGTCAGTTGTATGTTCACTCATACCTTGTTTACACTTATTTTCTTTATCCTATTAAAATGCTCTTGCTTAACAGATACCTTAATAAAAGAAAATTAGACTGAGTACTCATACCTTAAACATTCCTTCATGAATACTGGCTACTCTGCCTCTCGTCGACGAGAAGTTCTGATTATCTTCGTCTTCTTATTACATTGTCGATAACAATCCACCATCAAAGTTGGGAAATACAGATCAAAAACTCGGGAAAACTTCTTCCTCAACAAGTATGCAATAATATGGAACAGTCTTCCCTCTGAAACTCGCATTGCAGATGAATTACATACGTTTGTAAAACTTAAAACAATTAGTCCCTTTGATAAATTTCGATGATGCAATGAGAAGACGAAGATTATCAGAACTATGTGATATATTTGCGCAATACATTTCGAACAATCTGATCACACATATACTTGTTAAGAGCATTTATATATAAAAATAAAAGGTCAACTAGACAGGAAATGGGGTAAGAGGAGATAAGGATAATGATAAGAGTAATAATAATAATAATAATAATGTGAACACAAAGCGAAACCTAATCACTCTGGATAATAAGTCAATATTACCAGGGTAGGTTTAAGGTAAGAACAAACTGTTTTTGAACACATAAAGGGGGTTTGAATTTTCGTATGGCTAAGGCTTCAATGAACCTTAGTATACGCCCTTTTACACTTTTATACAGCACTCTAAAAGCTGAATTTAGATCAATCTTGTGACCTGTTTCAATTATATGTTTAGCAATAGAGGATGATGGATGTTTATCCTCTGCTCTTATTGGGTCACTTGATTGTATTTGTTTCTGAAGCCATTTGGGTACATGTTCACTCACCCTAATGTTGAGATCACGATTACTCCTCCCTATGTATGTGTGACCACACACACATTTAAATTGGTAAACACAGTGGGAGTGCTGTATAAAAGTGTAAAAGGGCGTATACTAAGGTTCATTGAAGCCTTAGCCATACGAAAATTCAAACCCCCTTTATGTGTTCAAAAACAGTTTGTTCTTACCTTAAACCTACCCTGGTAATATTGACTTATTATCCAGAGTGATTAGGTTTCGCTTTGTGTTCACATTATTATTATTATTATTACTCTTATCATTATCCTTATCTCCTCTTACCCCATTTCCTGTCTAGTTGACCTTTTATTTTTATATATAAATGCTCTTAACAAGTATATATGTGATCAGATTGTTCGAAATGTATTGCGCAAATATATCACATAGTTCTGATAATCTTCGTCTTCTCATTGCATTATCGAAGTTTGTAAAACTGCTTGATCAAGCCCTCACTTGCACTGATCTTGCACGTACGAACACATCTGCGCCCCACTCAGACATCATAGGCTCTCTCCATGTCTAGACCAAAATGGACTTCAAGTTCATTCTGCCTTATTTTTCCTACTTTGCAGTCGTCTTATTTACTTTGTCCAATTGACTTAAGTCTGTTGATTATAAGATTATGAGGTACTTTATCAAACGCTGTCTTAATATCGAAATAAAGTGTAGCAACTAGTTTCTTCTGGTCACGTATATGAGTAACCTCGTTAAAGAAGTCTATCAGACATGTACTGCACGACCTTGTTCTAATAAAGCCGTGTTGTAACGGGTCTATTAGGTCTTCCTTAAGTAGGTGATCAGATCGCTGATTTTGTATCACTTTTTCCATTATGCGTGACATAACTGGAGTGATATTTATGAGTCTGTAGTTTTCGACCAGGTTTCTCAGTCCTGATTTGTGTTTGTGAAGAACACACGTTACCATCAAGGTTTCCGGATATGTACATGTCTCTAAAAATAATGTGTATATTTTAAGTTATAGCGTCTGTATGTCCGGTCCTGACATTTTATAGAGGATTGAAGAGATGTCATCGGCACCAGAACTAGCATTTTGCTTAAGGGTTTTAATGGCGGTATGTATACTCCTGATGTCGAAGTTCATGGTACTGAGATAATTTTTGCTGATACATTTTATGTTGATATCTGGAGCATGAGATGTATTTCGATTGTGAGAAAACCATTCACTTAATAGTTCACATATGACGGTTTGGTCATTATATGTCACTCCATCGTGCAGTAAGGAGTGAATTTTGTGATCTTTGTTTTTTCTAATGCGTTTTGTGAGGAGACGACATAAGGCTTGGGTTTTAGATGCAGCAATGAGCGCAGTACGTTCCTCTGCCTGTTTATGCTTGTTGTGTTGACTTTATACTCCATGAAGTACAAAGTATATCTGATGCAGGGCACTGAAGTTTTTTGATATATAGTACGTCCTTTTCAGTTTTCGCAGTTTAGACCTAGACTTTTGGTTTATATAGGGAGTAATTGTTTTAAAAGCAGTTTTAGAGGTTATAGTAGTCTCTAGCGCAAATTTGGTGGTGATATTGAATATTTTTAATGTTTCTAAGAGGTTATTACTGGTAAAGAAACTGCCCCAGTCAGAGTGCTTTATTAGAAATCGAAAGTTTTCCCAGTCAGCATTTTCATAGTTTCTATATTGGAATCGCGTGTTTAATGTCTTTAATTTGTTGCATATGGAAAGAATCGGAAGGGTGCAGAGGACTATTTTATGATCGCTGTTGTTTAACTTTTCGCCAACCACCATTGATGTTGGTGTGACATTATGACAGAATATTAGGTCAAGAATGTTGTGATTTCGTGTAGGCAGGTGTACATGTTGTTGCCAGCCGTGTATGTCTAAGGACCTAAGTATGCTTTCAAAGCACAATGGGCCAGAATGTGTCTTCCAGTTGATGGTGGGAAGGTTGAAATCACCACATACAATTTTGTAAGTGAAGTCAAGCGAGGCAGCCTGAGCAAATGACTCACTTATAATAGTGTCATTTGAACTAGGAGTGTTAGGAATTCGATATATGCATCCGATTAGTGTTTTACATTCACGAGTGTGCACAGTAAGGCATATCAAATCAGGACGTTTGCTGAGAGCATGGTCGCTGTAGATTTCGGCTCTCGAGTTTTTTGATACATAAACGAGACAACCACCACCCTTCTTGGTGACTCGATCACAGCTGAATAGCTCACCAGTGTCTGTTTGTAGATATGTGTGTGGTATCGGAGGACAGCCAACTTTCCGTTATTAAAACAAGTGAGCCTGAATGAAGCGCCAAAATTAGTTCTACTAAAAAAATCGTGAGTTCCGACAACTATTTTTTCTCTTGATAATAATTTATGTAGGAGTTATATCTGGCCACTAGAATAAATGTGTGCCGTCAAAGTAGTGCTGGACCAACGTTGGAGAAGTTCTACCAAGCCAATCACGTGCCTCAGCTTTTTCTGTTTGACAGCTGATTTGTGATGAGTGTCTGAAATGTAGCCGCTTGTTTTCGAATATAGAACGCTGAGACTGCTTCAGCCACTATGATTTCATTTGTTAAAACATTTTATAACAATGTCTGAAAGTGCATATTTTGAGACAGCTATTCACAGTCGCTCATATCAGTAGGTGTATTAAGTCGACCTGAGGGAGAAGACACATCTATTTGGTTATAAGAAAAATATTTCAGTTTCATTCACATGTCAGCTTACCTCAGCTGCAAGGGGTGTACACACGGTGTCTTTTATGCGTGATCTGGTGCGGATGTTTTACCCAGAACCCTCAGCCAGGGTGTGTCTAGTAAAACAAATCAGACAAACATCAATGTTGAAGACTGGCAGAGCTATTTATTTTGGGGAATTGTTTACCGCTGTAGCTTAGCCTAGTAGGGTGGGGTGACCCCGAGACGTGGCCAGCCAGAAGTTTAAACCCAGGAAGCAAACACTCCTAATAGCTTGGCACTTTCAGCAGCATCTGGTCGTCTTTCACTAATATAGGGACCATGTGTTCCAATGTAGCAATTATTATTATTATTATTATTATTATTATTATTCATAAACATCTTATAAGTACATAAGTGTTGTGAAGAAACCATTTCGGGTTTATTCAGAAAATGCAATAATACACAATTTTCCATAATGTCAGCATTATACTTGCCATTTTTAAAAAAAATTTTAGAGCAATAATAGTAGAATATTAATAATAATAAATCGGGTCTGTGCAATTGAAAAGAATATTGAATTGAGTTTAAAGAAGGAAATGGAGAAAATAAGGGAATAGAAATAAAGGAAACGTGAAATACGTAAACAGTCTAATAAGACGTGTTTATGAACACAGAACAAGAATAAACGACTGTGTGTATCGTTAAATTAGTAGCGAAAAATAATTAAGAAAAAATAACTTATAATTACAGTAAGATATGACGCTAGAATAAATGTTTGTGCAGCCATAGTTTAGAGTGATGCTATGAAAGTCACAATTAAGTGAAAAGGATAATAAAATATCAATATGTATGAGTTACATGTGCATAGTGAAGTTAAAACTGGTCTGGGGATTTAATTTAAGTGTAACACAAGTTATTGTTTTAATTACAAACTTCGTAATAATATTTATTCAGAGGGAAAGAAGAGAAAGAAAAGAAGTGAACACTTAGTGAAAAGTTTTGATCTATGATAAGAATAATAATTGTGTAATGAATATCAACCTCAGAAGGAAACCAGCAATTAAAAAAAATAAAAATCCTTGAAAGCACTCGGATGAATACATTTAGATTTATGTAATAGTATACAGAATGAAACCGGATATTGGTATAAATATTTGTACAATAATAATTAAGAATGATGCTATGAAAGTCAAAATTGATTTCAAAGGACAATCTGGGGTTAAATATGTTTAGAAGGATAAGAAGATATAAAAAGAATATCTAATGTGTCGTGGAACTGATAATGATATTAT